GCACGCTGGCTTAATAAATACCTTCTGTTTCTCTGAAATCTCATGCTTTGTGAAATAGTTTCCCCTGTAATTATAGTCGATCACATAGGTGTTGCTGCTTATCTTGACGAAGGCTATATAGAGAAGAGTGATTGATGGGGCCGTTTTTTTTTTCTCTAAACCTTTCAGACTTTGTCAGGCCACCCAGTAACCAATTTAGAGTGAATAGAAACATTTTGCTCTCTCCTTAAATTTGCCTTTTTGAATCAAGCCTGCAGTATGCATTTAAAGTGGAGAATGTTCTATAGCAGCCTCTTTGAAAAAGTCAATAAAACGCGAGATGCGTGTCTCGATCCAGACCAAAAGAGAGACACTAGGAGCAAGAGACTGTTTTGTCTAAATGGAACATCTCTACTCTCTTCTCCAGAGTGCTGTGGGGACACGTTTCTCCGTGGACCTCGTAATCCTTGTCCGTTAGGGAGCAAAAAGTGGGAAGGACATCACAGACAGTCAGCTTTCCTCTGTGCAGACTATAAAGAAGACAAATATACGTCCCCTCAGCCATGACAGAACTCCAGCAGAGCTCCAATGTTAGATCTCTGTATAAAGACACACTGGTTGGCTGTAAAGAAATATTAATATCTGTGCCATGGAGCTGTTGTGCTCTGCTCATGAGTGTGGGTTTGTGCAATAATGTTCTGGACAGATGTTGCACACTCATAGAGAGTCGCGTTCACATTTTGTTTAGATTTCAGAGAGATTTTTTTTTCTTTATGGGAAAAGAAGGCTTTTCTTTTGTTGTCAATGACAGGTTTAAGAAGCATATGGTTCCCCACAGGTACAGTACATATCCTATGATCGTAGGAGTGTTGTCTGTATGGGCTTGTCAGAGCTCTGCTGCATTGCATGGCTTGGTGGAAAAACAAACCCAACACTAGATATGTTTGGCGTTATGTTCGAAAATATCTTATTTTTCAGTGTATGAGTGTTTGTGTTGTTGATATTAAATTAGGTTTGGGGAACACTTTACCATGAGGTTTGATACATTAGCATTAGTTAATACAATAGCTAACATGAAATCATAATGAACAATTTTTTACTACATTTATTAATCTTCATTAATGTTATTCTCTACATGTTCTATTACATTAAACATTTATTTAACATTTCGAGTTGTATAAATTTACATGAATGAACAATTAACAAAATTGTATTTATAAATTAACATTAACCTAGATTAATAAATGCTTTAAAAATATTATTGTTTTACATTTTGATACATAATGGATTAATTACACTGATGTTGTAGAAACAATTTTCACTTATAATTTGCCAATAAATTTCACAAACAATTACAAATAAACAGCAAGTAACATGTTTAATTAAACATGAAATTTTGTATCAGAAAATCTGAAATAGTATTTTCTTGAAAATGGATAAATGTTAATTATGGAAGTTTTTTTTCCCATTATTTAAAGGGGTCACATGATGCTATTTTAAAGATCATTATTTTGTGTATTTGTTGTCACAGAATATGTTGACATGCTTTAATGTTCAAAAAACACATTATTTTTCAAATACTGTACATTATTGTAGGTCCTCTATGCCCCGCCTCTCTCAAACACGTCGTTTTCAACAAAGCCCCCTCCTTTGACAAGCACAGTCTGCTCTGATTGGCCAGCTGACCCAGTGCACTGTGATTG